TTTTGAAATTACTATAATAAACAATATCAAAATTTTTAAATTTTATGAAATTTTTATATTAATTTTTCATTTTTTCTTAATTTATTGATAATTCATTTGTAAGTAATAATGCATAAAAAATGGAACTTGCAAATTTGTTATAAAAATGTCTTTTATGTTAAAGAAAAATGCGAATTAAAAATTATTATTAATGTAAATAATAATTGATAATTTAATAAATGAAAATAAAAAAAAAATGTTTTTGCAATAAAATATATATAAAAAGAAAAAAAAATAAATAAATACTCAATTATTAAAATAATTGCATATATATTTATTGTATATATGTATATTTAATTACGTACATTTCTTTAATAACGTATAAAAAATTCATATAAAATAATCAATACAATTTTGTAAATTAACTTTAACATAACATACTCATATTTAAAAACATATACATATTTAAAACATACTATTAAGAAGTTATATTATTTTATAATTATACAATATTAAAAATTTTTTATTAAATATATAAAAATGATATAATATAATAATTGTTTGATTTTATGTATGTAATTATATTTATCATATAATTAATTTTATATTTTTATAATTGTAAAATAATTTACAATAAAAGAAAAAAATGAGTTACTAATATTAAAGTAATAATAAAATATTCTTAAACTTATTTACATTTTAATTAATATGAAATTACTTTTGATTTATTGAATATATACTTATATCATAGTCACACCAATCTCCATTTTCAGACGCAAACGCTCGTAACGGGTTCTAGGGAAACGTTAATGACGGAAGTGTGAACAATATAGGAAAAGCTACATAAATGTGAAATTGTAATCGCACATGAACGCGATTCGTGAATATATGATATTAGGTGCAACGAGTAATGGCTACTGCAATATTGTAAAAAAAAGTGTTCCGCCTGACAGCAGTAGAAATGTAGTTCGTGTTAATCGAAGAATATTTTGTGGTTTAATTGTATATACAGATTTTTTCAATTAACTAAGGTTAATAACAAATTCATTTGTTCCATGACTTCCCTACTAAATACTACGTAAGTACATAAGTTTTAAACTCTATATATTTATATAATATAAATTAAAGTAATTAATACAAATATTTTTCCATATAAAAATATGTATATATATTGTATATATATATATATATATATAACATTTCTAAATTTAAATTCCTATATAAGATATATATATATATATATATATANATTATTTATTATTATTATTATTAATAAATTATTAATTTTAATTGTTATTTTAGGTCAACAAAAAATGACAGTATTAGAAACAGAAGAAGATGCAGATAAACGTTCAGTTCCTCCTAGGAAGAAATTTTGCTTATCCCTTTCTGGTCGTGAACGTACAATTTCTATTAATACTTCTCAGGCTCCTCAGACTTCAGAGAGGGAGAGCCTTTTAAACAAAGATACCTGTACTCATAGTATGTAAACTTATTTAACTCTATTATATTTTATAAACTTTAAATATATTTAAAAAATATGTTTAAATTGTATGTATATTTATGTATAATTTAACATATATTTATTAATTATGAAGGTATAAGCAAAATGTTGAATGGTTATCGTAATCAATTGAGCAATCATCAAGATGGAAGTTATGATGTATCAAATAGCGGTACAGAAGGATTAAGGATAGCTACTTTATGTAATTTAGGAAATACATGTTTTTTGAACAGTGTGATATATACTTTACGATTTGCACCATCATTTCTACATAATTTGCATCATTTGGCCACTGATTTGTCTAATTTAAATGATAAACAAATTCAAACTAAAGTAAGATTTATTATATTAAAAATAAAAACTTTTTATATAGTAATAATGTTAAAATAACATAATATAAATAATAATAAAATAATAATAAAATAATATAATAATAAATAAAATTATATAATAATTTTTTTTATATAGATAAAGTCATCATCTTTGGGTAGAACTGGTGTATCACTTACATCAAGTGGCAGTCGGAGTTGGAGTAGTAAAGATTTATTAGCTTTGGCTGGACCTACTGGAGATAATAATAAACACAGAATACAAATAGCTACTGAAAAATTACATGAATTATTTATGGCATTACGTGCATCTGAAGCAAGAGAAAATAGTGAACCATATCAGCCAGATGCGTTTTTACAAGCTCTTAGGTATATATTATATTAAAAAAAAATATATTTAAGAGAGAAATATACATATTACATATATTATATGCTATATATTTTTCTTTCAGAGATGTAAATCCTATCTTTGAGGGAAATCAGCAACAAGATGCTCATGAACTTTTAGTATGTTTGCTCGATAATATTAGGGAAACATTCCAATTGTTGGTCAGACATAGAGAAAGTCAATTTGGACAAAATAATGATACATTATCAGACTTTTCCACTGAACATTTAACAGATGTACAATCAGAAGGTAATAATTCTAATAAAAGAAGCATTCGTAAATCAAGAAAAAAGAAAAAAATAACAACAAGAGGAAGTTCATCTTGTCTTGTACAATCAAATTTAAATGGTGTATCAGTATCTTCTAGACCATACGAAAATGTGAAATATTATATGAAATATTGTATGAAATATGAAAATGGTCATGCTGAATTTCCGGAAAGTAACGGAGATATAAGTAGTCATAGATTGGAAAGCAAGAAATGTTTTATTTCAGAAGATTTTGAAGGAATTAGTCTTTTGCGAACTACATGTCTTGAATGTGAACATGTTACAGAACGAAAAGAAACATTTTGCGATATATGTGTGCCTATAGATATAGACAGATCAAGTGAAAAAGGTACGTATCTTTTATTATATTAATTAACTTATAAAGTGATTAAATTATAAATATATTCATTGTAGATAAAGAAGTAAGACCAATGGATAGTAGTGAAGTATATAAACGTGCAGTAGTTACTAGTGAACTTCTTTGGGGCCGAGATAAATATTGGTGCGCTCGTTGTCTTCGATATAATGAAGCTCGTAGAGCTGTATGTTTCCCATCTTTACCAAGACTACTTATATTGCAATTGAAAAGATTTTCTACTGCAGCAGGGTAAGATTATTTTTTACTTTTATTTATTGATAATAAGATAATAAAATAAATAACATTTTCATATTTAATATAAAGACGTATATTATATTAGGTCAATGGAAAAAATTAATAATCATATGCCAACACCATTAACATTACAATGTTTTTGTGAAGAATGCAATAACGATCAATCACGAACTACAGGTGGCAGATCAGAATCACGACATGTATATAAATTATATTCTGTAATTATGCATCAGGGTGCAACAATGACAGCTGGTCATTATGTTGCTTATACCCGTTTGCCTGATGAATCTGCATTTGCAGAATATTTTCAATGTGACCGAGATAGTAAGCGACAAACTTCTGGTCAGGGTAGTAGCAGCACAAATACAAATTCGTCTTCATCAGATAAAACATCTGGTATATTAAAATACTTTAGAAGTAAACCAAGTGCTAGTGAAACTAAGGAACAATTAATCAGGTTTGGTTGCCGCAGTATGGATTGTTGTGGTATTCGACGTCATAAACATCCTAGCACGTGGTTAGAATGTGATGATGAAGCAGTGCATGTAATCCCATTGCGAGAATTAGAAGATAAACTAGCGCCAAATCCACGAAATTCCGCCACTCCTTACCTCTTGTTCTATGTAAGATCTGTGACATA